CAGTCAGAGGGATCCTTTGAAATCAATCTGTTTCAAGTACATGTTACTGAAGGAAAAAAAAAAAAAGCATGACAAGTTCTGTGGGTTGGTCAGCTACTGGTTTCACCTGTGCCCACTCATGCAGCAGGAATCTTCGGGAAGGTTCAAAATGGCCTCTCCCATACATCTAGCAGAATTTCAGCCCCTACTGCCCCCCCCCCCACTACGGCACCAATGTGCATTTTATCAAGATCTCCAGGACATTGCTGTGTATCACAGAGCTTAAGAAGCATTTGTTTCCAGTGTAAGTCCTGCCCGCTTCTGTTCCCAATCTATGTAAAAGTTTCCCATTCCAATGAAGTCCTTGCCTGGCCTACAAAGCCCATGTTCTTCAGCCCACTTGAGGACTCTTTCTCCCCATGACTCCTGAGTGGCAGAGTATAAGCCAGCTTTTCAGCATTAGAGCCAGCCTTACCTTGACTTTGATGTTCCTTCCCCTGGGTCTGAGGATGAGCTTTTCACAGGCTAGGCAAATAACCCTTTAAAAAATTGCAACTCCCACCCATATCTCAACTCTCTAACCCCTTTCCTGCTTGTTCTTCCATATTGCATTAATCAACATCTAATACAGTATTTCTTTTACTTATATTGGTTTCGTCTGTCCTCTCCTTTTAAGAATATAAATATTAGCTAGGTATAGTAATCTCAGCTCTGAGCAAGTTACAGCAGGACTATTTTGAATTCAAGTCCAATCTAGGCTACAAAGCAATTTCAAGGCCAACCTGGACTATACAGAAAAAAAAAAAAAGAAGAAAAGAATATAAATTGTAAGGAAAGGTTTGAGGTTTTGCTCTGTTGGTGGTTTTTTATGTGTTGTTTTCTTTGGAAACAAGGTTTTGTGTGAAGTCCTGGGTGGCTTCAAACTGATGACCCTCCTGCCTAAGGCTGTCAAATACTGGAATTCCAGGCCTGAACCTCCATATCTGGCTCAACTTCTCTTCTCTTGAGCTCATTTTCCCATGTCTCCAAACCCCTAATGCTCCTTAGCACAAAAATTATTCTCTTTGATAAGAGACAAAAGCTGGCTGCAAATGTGGCTTAGTGGTAGAGTGCTTGCCTAGCATGCATGAAGCCTTAGGTTCGATTCCTCAGTATCACATACACAGAAAAAAGCCAGAAGTGGTGCTGTGGCTCAAGTGGTAGAGTGCTAGCCTTGAGCACAGAGAGGCTCAGGGACAGAGCCCAAGCCTGAGTTCAAGCCCCAGGACTGGCAAAAAAGATAGGAGACAAAAGCAAAAGGGGTTGGGGAATTCAGGCTCGAGTACCAGTCCTAGCTCTTTCCTTGTCCTTGTACCAAATACGCTTTTGAATTCAAAGCCAGCCTGGGAAGGAAAGTCCATGAGATTCTTACCTCCAGTTAACCCCCAAGACCAGAAGTGGCACTGTGGCTCAAAAGTGGTAGAGCACTGCCCCTGAGCAGAAAAAGTTTAGGGACAGCACTTAGGCTCTGGTTCAACCCCTACAACCAAAAAGAAAGAAAAAAAGAAATTGACTTTCATATTTATTTGTCACATTGAGATCCATAGACCTTCCTGGCAAACTTCTTCTAAGTCTTCTGCCTGGCACACACACCTTTTTTTTTTTTTTTGCCAGTCCTGAGCTTCTTTGGCTCAAGGCTAGCACTCTACCACTTGAGCCACAGCACCATTTCTGGCTTTATCTGTTTATGTGGTACTGAGGAATCGAACCCACTTCATGCATGCTAGGCAAGCACTCTACCACTAAGCCACATTCCCAGCTCATGCATGGATCACACCTTTTATACCCTTGACCTTTTTGTAAAGCTTGTCATGCTCCTTCATAGTTACCTCTCATTACTTCTTCTATACTGGAAGAGAAGAGGACAATGATAGGAAGGCTCAGTGTGAATAACTCACTCCAGCTTTGGAGCTGGTAGCCCTGGATTCAGATCCTATCTACCCACTTTGGCATCATATGAAATAAAGGCATGTTAAACTTTACTTTCCCAGGGCCTCAGGGTCCACATCAGCAAACAGAAATCCCACTTCAAAGTGATTGGGCTGTAAGGATTAATAATAAAGATGTTTGTAAAAAGATCTAGCTCAGTTGGATGCTGGTGGCTCACACCTGTAACCCTAGCTCTGAGATCCGAGGTTCATGGTTCAGAGCCAGCCCAGGCAGGAAAGTGTGTGAAACCCTTATCTCTAATTAACCATTCAGAAAAAAGTGGAAATGGCACTGTTGCTTAAGTGGTAGAGCGCTAGCTTTGAGCAAAAGAAAAGGGACAAAGCTCAGGCCCTAAGTTCAAGACCCAGGACCAGCACAAAAAAAAAAAAGAATGCCTAGCTCAATTTGAGACAGTGATTAGCACCTGTTATCTGTCACCAGGATCCTTTGCAGATGTTCCCAACTATGACTCGTCTTCTCTTCCATATTCTCTTTCCAGGCACTTCTGTGTTTCTGTTCTCAGAAGCCTTGAGATACAGGCCAGGCCCCCAGTGACCTCCCCTTGCGTTCGTTCCCAGCCCCCATGACCCAGTCTCTGGCAGATGGTCCCTGTGGAGAATGTTGTTGATTAATTCAACTAAAGTTACTCCCATCTGTTTGTTTAAGCTTCTGATGTATAGTCATCTTCTCAGCACTTGGGATAGCTTTAAATTCTCAAAGGTGTTAAGGCAAAAGTATCAGCCATTGCATAGAACTGCAGATGAATGGAGGGAAGGTGGAGGACAGGGCTAGGGGAGATTGAGGGAAGAAAAGTGTGACTGAGGCGCTGTGAGGTCAAGACCAGATTTATCCACTTCAGGGCTTGTCCTTGATGGAAATCAGTGCTGTGTAACTTCATCTCCAGAGTGACATCCCATCACTGTTGACATGGTTCATTTATTAGAATGAATCCAGCAAACTTGTGAAAACACACACACACACACACACACACACACACACACACAGAGCCCAAACCCCAAGGTGTGAAGACCAGGAGATGAAGACCAGTGGAATCCATGATAGGAGCTGGCCCAGTCCACCACCATTTTTACAGACAAGAAACTGAGGTCCAGGGGCTGGGAAGGTGGCTCAGTGATAGAGTGCTTGCCTTGCATACCTGAGGCCCTGGGTTCGATTCCTCAGTACCACATAAGCAGAAAAAAAAAGCCAGAAGTGACATCGTGGCTCAAGTGGTAGAGCGCTAGCCTTGAGTTGAAGAGCTGAGAGATAGCGCCCAGGCCCAGAGTTCAGGCCCACGACCGGACCCAAAAAAAAAGAAAAGAAAAGAAACTGAGGTCCAGAGAGAGTTTATCACTTCCTCTAGGTCACCTAGTAATATGCTGTTCAGGATACAAAGTCAGAGCAAACTTGCCCTTTTAATCACTAACAGTCAGTCTTCTGAGTACTGATTGGCATTACAAGTATGTACTACCACGCCCGGTTCCTAAATGATATTTTATGTGTTATCTACTATATGAATTTTAGGTGTTGTTGGGTTTTGATGATGTTGGGGGTCCAACCCAGGGCCTTGTGCATGCTGATGATTTCATTTCCTTTGCCCTGGCTGTATGTCCTGGCGCTGGACAAGAGCCATGCTCCCACTGTGTCCCTTCATCCAGGCTCTTCTCCCTGCTTAGAGTGTGTCCTATTCTTGGTACCCAACAAACTCTGACCCTTGCTCCCACTCCTCGTTCAAATACTATTTCCTCGGGAGGTCACTCCTGACTAGAACGTTAGACGCCCCTCTGCACATGTTCTTCCCAGGGTGAGGCATATTTTCTTGGTCATTCTTTCTTAGGCGCAGAGTTGTGAGATCTGTGGATGTGGTGGAGGAAAATGCCCCCAGAATTAACCTGTCTGCCCTCTATTCTGTTCCCAAGGTGTCTGCCTGGCGAAGTGTAAGCAGGACAGCAGGGCTGAATGATTTCAAAGCCAGCCAGCCTGTCTTCCCCAGGACACCTCTAGCCTCCAATGACCTCTAGTTAATTGTTACCTTTTCAAACCATCACATCCAAATGCTAATTAAGAAGAGTTTTCTGACTTCCTGTGCAAACACTTAGAAGAGACTTTGGAGAATACAGTTTTGTACTGTTCTGGTCCGGGGTAATGAATGGCCTTAACTAGAGCTTTCAGACACTGAAGGATAAATAGACCTACCCAAGAGGGGTACAGGATATATTTTAGGATAGCAAAGGCTTTGTTCCTGCCATTCAAAGTATACAACCTATCCTGGGAATAGAGAAAAAGGACTTTGGAAAGGGAGGAATATTATTTTACTATCTTAAAATAATAATTATGGGCTGGAGGTGTGGCACAGGTGGTAAGAGTACTTGCCTAAACAACAGAAGTCCCTAAGTTCAAAACTCCAATGCCACCAATAGTGAGTGTGTAAGGAACTTGGCACTAATCCTAGCTACTAGGCTGAGATCTAAGGATTGTAGTTTGAACCAGCCAAACAGGAAAGCCTGTGAGGCTCTTATCTCCAGTTAGCCAGCAAAAAGTCAGAGTTGAGCTGTGGTACAAATGGTAGACACCAGCCTTAAGCAAAAAAGCCAAGTGAGAGTGAGAAGTCCTGAGTTCAATCTACAATACCAGCACATATATACATAACATACAGAGTATGTAAAAACACTGAAAACGCAACACACGCCATATGACCTTAACTATGTATGCTGAACACACATCATTTGATCTCATTAATTTAAAAATGTGCTTCCCTAACAATGACTTACCCTTACAGTTATTTACTGAATCACCCCTAGTGAAGTAGCTAGTGAGCGCCTATTTGCAGATGAGAAATGGGGTTATTTTCCCCAGCTCACATAGTCAGGCTTAAAGCCACTACTTAAAAAGATGTTAATCATCTTTGGGACGTAGTTTATTTTCTCTATTCTTTAGGTTTATCCTATTTGGATTTACTGTAATGACCACTTTTAAATAGGAAAGACAGTGGATGATGGAATTTGAAGGACAAATTTCAACCCATTTCCCCCCTGCTTTTCTAAACTTTCCAGAAGAGCTGATGACCACCCCAATACTTCAGACTACTGAAACCTTGTCTCCAGAAGTGGAAGAAGCCAGCACAGCACTCATTGCAGGTAACAATGGCTCTTCCCCAAATCCAAAGGATACCCTCCTTTCTTTGGGGGAGGGTCAGAGGCCATCTAGCTGTAGGGTCAGCCTGGAACCCTAGTATGGAAAACACCCCATCCATTACTGGGACACACACACACACACACAGAGTTATAATCATGGCCAGTAAATGAGAGGTTGGAAGGTAGCCACAAAAAAGATACTGGTGTCTGGTGCCAGTGGCTCATGCCTACTCAGGAAGCTGAGATCTGAGGATCGTGGTTCAAAGCTAGCCCGGGCAGGAAAGCCTGTGAGACTTTTATCTCCAGAAAACCGAAAGTGGCACTGTGGCTCAAGTGGTAGAGTGCTTGCCTTGAGTTGAAGAGTTCAGGAACAGCGCCCAGGTCCAGAGTTCAAGCCCCACTTCCGACCAAAAAAAAAAAAAAAAGATATTGGTGCATATGGACATTACACTTGAGTGAGTGGGATGAGGATATATGTGGTTTGTTGAGGGGTGAGGAACCACTACAGGAAGCTATGGATTTAAAAGTACTCTTCATCTAACAGGATAAGCTACTTTTTTTCATTTCCCTCCTTCGTATTTCTCTCACCATCATCAGGAACTGGTTTAGGAGTTAAGTTGTGTTAGAAATCAAAAGCATGGTGTCTGGATACCATATCGCATGGCCTCTGAGCTTGGTCTAGGAACACAGATGTGGAAGCAGATACTAGTTCATTAACATGAGCCTCTATGAAAAGTGAGGAAATGGTTTCATCAGTTGATCCAGTGAATTCCTGAATCATCCCCAATCCTGAAACCCGTCTCCGTTTCCCTCTCCTTTCCAAGTTGTTATCACCGTGGTCTTCCTCACCCTGCTCTCGGTCGTGATCTTGATCTTCTTTTACCTGTACAAGAACAAAGGCACCTACGTGACGTATGAACCTGCAGAAGGCGAGCCCAGCGCCATCCTCCAGATGGAGACTGACTCAACTAAGAGCAGAGAAAAGGAAGAGTATTTCATCTAACAGTTCCCAGACCTAAGGAGCCAATTCATGGCTCCAGCACTCACACTATTTAATGTGTTAGGTGAAATTGTATTAGAAGTCAGTGAACGTGGGCCAATCCAAGGTCCTTGTAGGACAAAGGTCCAAATGCCAGCATCACTGACTCCAGAGACCCGGGATGTGGAGAAAGCTGCTTATGATGCCATTAATCAGGCCTTTGTAATAGCACTGGTATTTGTGACTAGCCAGCAAAGGAATAGTTGAGTATGTGCCTTCTACAGGTTAAAAGGGGAGGAAAAAGAGTGAGCTTGTTGCTTGATCTACTCTGTCCCCTCCTGGATACCTATGCTATCCCGAAGGGAGCTATCCATAGTTCTTCCTAGAGGCTGGATAGCATACTAAGAGGCCAAGCCATCAAGGAGAGGAAACTGGGGATCTTACCTCCTGATAAATGTGCTATATTCCTTAATCTGAGCCCTTCTTTCCATATTCCCCAACAACCTCATGCTATTTTTTATCCGAATTAAACTTTTTCATTGATGCAGAAACCAGATTTTCAGGTGCAAAAAGTAACTACGTTTACATTTGGACTTATCTTTGCTTACACATTGACATTTTCTTTCACTTATTTAACTCTTCTGTATATATGTTGCCCAAGCAACAACTCTGAAGTTGCACAAGTTCCCAGAACTATGTTAGGAGTTTAAGAGAAGGATGATCCAGGAGGCTTCACCCAGGGGAGCATCTTCAGGAACATGACTCCATCTTCGGGAACATACTCTGGGAAATAAGTTAATTTGGCCTCTATACTAGCAAGGGCCCAAATTTTCCCATTCCTTATGTACACAGGGAGAGGTGCTTAAAAGGTGTAATACTTTGGTATAAATCTTATTAGCTGCTCTATTTTCTTTGGAATTAAGACTTCCTTTGAGGTCTTTGTGTATTCCCTATTGTCCAAGTTCAAGCCCACCTAAGGTAAGGGCCAAAGGTGGAGGAAGCAATCTGGCAACCTGGACTCTAGAAGTCCCAGTATTTTTCAGAGAACCCTAGAGACAAACTGAAGATCACCCTGAAGGTATACAAATGTTACACTAAGGCATTCTCCTCAATTTAAACTTGAAAGCAAATGAGGGGAACCAATTGTTTCCTTTTCTCCTGAGATTAGGTTCTGACTCTCAGAATCTGGAAGAGTTTGGGTGGTAAAGTAAAGAAACATATACTATCTAAAGAAAAACTCATAGAAATAGTCAAATCTTAGCCTTGTACTTCTGGATGTATTTCAAAGCCTTTATTAAAGAAAATACTAATAGCAGCACCTTGCTGAGTATCTAGGTGGGACATTAAGATACGTGGAGAAGAAATAAAACAAGCTAAATAAAGAATCCTTGGAGTGAGGTGTAATGCAACTTCATCACTTTATTCAAATCTTCAAAATAGTCTTTATTCTACATTTTTAGTATAAAAAATCCACAAGTTAAGTGCACCACAGTGTAGAGAGAGACATACAACGCTGAACTTCCATAACAGTCAATGGTACAGTCAAACACCACATGTACAGAACACAAAATTTAGATGAACTGAAATTATAAGATAAAATAAAATCCAATTTCAGAAAACAAAAATCAAATATTAAGGATCCCTGAAATGTTCTTAACCCTAAGAGATTTCACTGGACTCAAGTCACTTTACAGTGAGACATTCACCATCAGATCTATTCACTCAGCTTAGGAATTGAAAGCCATGATTGGCTGCGTCTGTCACTGACCAAAAATGGTAACCAATTGCTGATCTGAAATACCTCTTAATTTGGCTCTAAAGTCAAGCTTTTGAAATGCATGCTCTTGCCTATCGTATTTTAAACTTTTTTTATGGGATAGTTTACACTGGTATCCTTAGGTTCAACAAAGCTCAGTTTTTCTGGCACCAAAGCAAATTTCAGTTGGGTTCATGTATGCAGAGACAACCTGTGAGGAGGTCCAAAAGGCACCCTCCATTTTTGCCTGAGATACAAAAACAGAAGAAAATGGGGGCTTCAGAGGATCCTTGTGAAAGACGAGCTGAAAGATGGCAAGTGTGAGAAGTGCAAGGAAAGAAGGAAACCCATCTGACTGCCTTTCTATCCTGCACCACTGAGTCAATGGAGATTGGCTGGAGGGGGATGGAAGACAGGATGGAGATGCCACATGGGACGGAGAATGGAAAAGGCAGACAGCTAATGCGTTTCATTGAACAGGAACGATAAATCAAAAGACTTAAAGGAGATTAAAGACCAATCAGAATAATTTGGCAACTTCAATTCTTAGGAAGATCAAAGTTTCCTTCAAACCTAATTTGATATTTTATTACTAAAAGCAAAGACCAGTATGGTACAGTATTACTCCAGAGGAATTAAAGGAAGATCCTTGGGGCTGCTTCACCCACCTTCATTTTATGAATGGATACCTCCCCTACCTCAAAATGCTTTAGGGAGGTACTGCTACCATTACATGGTTCCTTATTAAATTTGAAAAGTGCCTGAAAGTTTTGGGCACCAGAAAGACACCCCAACAACATGTGTCTAAACTGCAAGTTCAGGTTAATATGACTAAAGCAGTTACATTGTGAGAAGTGCTGAAGGTATGTGATGTCTTTCCCGGCACAGAGGTGGCCTTGCTTCCTCACCAGATGGTGTAGCCACCATCGGAGCCACCCATGAAGAAGTTTCCCTTCCGCTGAGTTACAAGGACATTGGCTCCCTGCATGACTGCAAGCTGAGCAGCGTTGGGAGGGCATCCAGGAGGCGGAGGCTGAAAGGAAAGGAGAAAGTAGAATGGGCATAGGGCAGCTGGAACGAGGGAAGGGGGTTATGTGTGGAGTAAAGTGTCTATTAAGATGGCAATGTGCCTATTAATAACACTCTAATGAACTGTGTCACCAGACAGACCTGAACCCAGTAACACAATAGGAAAGGAAGCCTAGCACTCACTCAAGGCTTTGGCATCCAGCGGCTCTAAGACGTTCATCTTGTCCTTTTTAAGGTAGGAAGTCACTCCCACTCACATTCCCAAAATCAGAATAGGGTCTAGGCCCATGGCCAAATCCCACAGGATGCCTAAGTGGGTTTCTTGGGTTTTGTTGAGGAAGAAGGTATTTTGCATGTGCTAAAGACATGCTCCACCACTGAGCAACATACTCAGCCCTCTTGTTTTTAGGTAAATCGCTAAATTTCCTAAATGCTCACTAATGACACCATCCCAGCAACATGGATTTTGGTTCCTGAATACTGGCCTGATCAAGGACCCTATGGGCTCTAAATCCAAGTATTAGAGAACTAAGCAGGAAATGCTAACAGAATCCCTACCTTCCTGGAAGCTATTTACCAGAGATTATGGATTCTACTTTTTTATTTATTTTTCAATTGTTTGTTTAGTTGTATGAAGAGGTTTCAATTTCAGAAGTCAGGTTGTGAGTACAATGCATCTTGATCAATGTCACCCCTTCCATCTTTCTCTCCCATCTTTCTCCATCCTGTCTCTACCTTCAAATTATGTAGTTCAATTTTCACATAATGTTAACATTGTACTTTTTTTTTTGTTAAATCATCTGGGTTCTAAGCACAACACCATGCTTATGGCAAATGTTAAGAGCATGCTTATGGAATGACTAATCATCATTACCACACCAGTTTACTTTACCAAAATAAACTGGGGAAGCAGTAAGCAAGACTCACAAGGCAGGGACAAAGGAATCAAGTTACATGTCAAGTGCTATTCATCTACCATACTTCAGTTTCTTGAATCAGTTTTTGCCTGTGACATGGCATTGGTTACACAAATACCAGCAGCTATGTTTCAGGGATAGTGGGAGAATAGTATGAAGTCACTTTAGACAATTTAGCTATCCAAAGACCAGGTGATACTCACAGGAATGTTGCCAGCAGTCGCTCCAGCTCCAAATCTGGCTCCTGCATCATATCCTCCTTCTACCAGCACTGTTGAGCCAGGAGGATAGATGGGACCAACTGGATAATAAGCCATCGGGATTGTGGAACCTAAAGGCCCAACAGCTACAGACTGGGCCATAGGAACATACAGAGAGGCGCCAGGAAATGCAGCTGACATGGTGGGGACTGTGGCAGCCCCTGGGTGCACAAAATTTGGACGAAACAGCTGAAGAGAAGAGAAGGCAAAACGTTACTTTATAACATTCCTATTTGAAATTTCCTTAATGAGTCCATTCTTTTTGTTATTTGTTTTTTGGGACAAGGGCTAGCCTGGAATTCTTGATCCTCCTGTCTCAACTTCCTGACTCATAATTCTTAATTCTTGGGAGTTCTACAAGTTGCCTCCCCACAGCATTAGTATTCTCCTGGATCACTTCCTGATAAAGCTAATATTAGGCTGGAAATACACAAATTCAATTTCTTAATCTCTGCCTGTGATCAGTAACATGAAATTGCCCAATTATATAAATTTTTAGTTTTTTTCTTTTCTTTCTTATTTTGTGCTGGTGCTGGGGCTTGAACTCAGGGCCTCATGCTGTCCCTTGGCTTTTTTGCTCAAGGCTGGAACTCTACGACTTGAGCCACATGCTCCATTTCTAGTTTTGGCTGGTTAATTAGAGACAAAAGAGTCTAATTGCATTCTCTTGCCTGACCTGGCTTTTAACCTCAATCATCAGATCTCAGCATCCTGAGTAACTAAGATTACAGGCATGAGCCATGGTACCCAACTCATATTTTAGATTTTTCATATAAGCACTCTTCTGCTTGTGAAGTCAGACTTAGCTAAGGACTGTGGTCTAAGTATATTTTCAACTAGATCAAATTTGGCCAACTGGAAGTACCTCTGAGTAGGCAGGTGGAGCATCAGTATAGGGTGGAGCCTGAGGAAGCTGCAAAGTCTGAGGGTATACCGGATTCCCAGGAGGCTGCACAGGGTAGGTTGGCTGCGTTGGATATTGACCTGAAATACAAAGGGGGTAAATGCAGGTTGTCTACTATTACAAAGCCACCAAAACGCAGCAAGACATACCGGATACCTAACTTGGTGGGAGAACGCAGATCGCAAACAGACTGCCCCCAAGGGCCTAATTTCTGGAGCCAAGAAAAAAGGCATTGTGTGTATAGCCTTATAAAGGAAGGTGCTGGGTTGTGACGTAGCATGCCGATGTTAAGAGAAAAATCTAAGTGGACTCAAGCGGTCTCCGGAATGCAGGACCCATCTGGGGACCTGATCCTGAAGTTCTGGAATGTCCAAGGTGCTGATGTAGCTACGGTGCTTCTGCTCGGGGCAGTCTCTGTTGGCTGAGCCGCAACCTGCCCAGACTCTAGCTAACAGTGGTTCTAATTATTAACCTCACAGAGTCCTATTCAAGGTCGACTTCCAGATAAAAGCGAGTAGAGTGAGCTGAGAGATCGGAGACAGAGAGAACGGGATAGTGCTGACAAATAAACTGGCACGATCGCGGGCACGGGGAGAAATTCATTCTAGCCTTGCTGGAGAGAAGATCTGTAATGCAGCAAAGGGCCGGGGCGGGTGGTTAAAGTAATCTTGCAGGCCGCGCGGCCCGCCCCCCAGCGACGGCACCTCACTAGTTAAGCTCCCGGCCCTGCCTGTTGTCTGGAGCGCGGCGCCCCGCCTCTGCCGGCTCGCCATTGGCCTACCCAAATCCCAGCTCTAGCTTCCTATTTGCTCTGGCAGGTGCCCATCACAGCAAGGCCCCCCACACACGTCCGAGTCCGCTGCTCCAAACTGCGCCACAGAGTTTTAGAGCCCAAGGGCCGGGCCGGAGCGACCAGCCGAGGTTTAGGGATGACGAAGGCATCAGGTGCAGGCCCCAGAACTGCGGCCGGCCGCGGAGAGCGGCACACTCCACCCCAAGCCTGCCATTTAGTGGCCCGAGACTCCGAACCCGCTCATTCCAGGCCAACACTACTCCCCCAGCTGGCCTCAATCGCCCCCTTTGCTTGCCTTTGCTGTTCATGGTGTCTGCGGGTCCGGTTTGACTCGGCGTCGCGGACGGTTATTTTTTTCGTCCTCTTCCTGTTCAGAGTCACTTCCGTGTCACGTGATGGGGCGTCCGCCCCCGGCATCACCCGACACCCGAGTAAGCTGCCGCCGGAAACCCCGCCCCCTTCGTTCAGCCTCCAATCTCTACGGCGGCTGTCCGCGAGGTTCCGCCTACTCGCGCTGGCTCCACCCACCGGCTCTAGTTCCTTTATTCCCGGCTCCCCTCCCTCCCCCCCCCCCCACGCCACTGTCACCTCAACTGGAGGAAAACCAAATATGTACAGGTATTGTCTGGAAAGCGGGTCTTTCCTCCAGTGTTCATAAACTCAAGGTCGCCTCACCTTGGCAGTATTTCCACAGGAACATAGATTCCTATACATTTTTCCCAACTACCCAAAGTATGTTCCCCAAATCTTGGTCTATCTTACGTTTCCTCTTCTACCAAGCTCAACTTAATTTTAAGCTCCAGAAAGATTGGTTTTGCCAATCCAGTTCACGTCGATTTTTTGTTTTTTCTGAAACAGACCCTACCCGGGAGTCTTCCTGCCTATATGTTCCTGAGACAAGTTGTTCATGCTTCGGTGGGTCCGGGTGTTTCTCAAAGGAAGGGATGTGTTTTGTTTTTTGTGGGG